AGGGCCCCACACACCCGCCTGTTTCCGGGAGAGCGTGGCCAAGGCCCCCGTGTTCCCCTCCCCTAGTTCTGGCTCTGTCCCTGAGCCGCTGTCCGCCTCTCCCGCCCCTCCTGCCCCTCAGCTCCAGCGCCCAGATGGGGTGCCCATGCCAGGGACAGGCCGGGGCCAAAGAGGCGAGCAGTCGGCCTGAGCCTGGGGGAGCGCGACTGTGGAGGGCGAGGCCTCCACATTCCCCGAGAGCCGGGCAAGGCCGGGGTCCGTGTGTGCGGGCGGTGGGCTCCCAGGAGGCCACGGAGCCACCAGCCTTCCCTCTGTCCTTGGTACGTGGTCTGTCCCTTGAGCCGATTTGGAGTCCTGTGTGTCTGTCCTGCTGTTTGTCATCCAGTTGCTTGGAGTGTGGGTTTACAGTTCATCAGATTTGGAACGTTGGTCTCTCGTTTGTTTCTGTTCCTCTCGTCTTTGCTGGGACTCCAACTGCACGTTGAAATCCCTTGGTGTTACCGTTGGTCACGATGCTCTGGCCGTGTGTGTGTGTGTGTGTGTGTGTGTGTGAGAGTGTGTGTGTGTGTGTGAGTGCGTGTGTGAGTATGTGTGTGTGTCTGAGTGTGTGTGACGGTGTGTGTGTGTGTGTGTGTGTGAGTGTGTGAGTGTGTGTGAGAGCGTGTGTGAGGGTGTGTGTGTGAGAGCGTGTGTGAGTGTGTGTGTGTGTGTGTGTGAGAGTGTGTGTGTGTGTGTGAGTGCGTGTGTGAGTATGTGTGTGTGTCTGAGTGTGTGTGACGGTGTGTGTGTGTGTGTGTGTGTGAGTGTGTGAGTGTGTGTGAGAGCGTGTGTGAGGGTGTGTGTGTGAGAGCGTGTGTGAGTGTGTGTGTGTGTGTGTGTGAGAGTGTGTGTGTGTGTGTGAGTGCGTGTGTGAGTATGTGTGTGTGTCTGAGTGTGTGTGACGGTGTGTGTGTGTGTGTGTGTGTGAGTGTGTGAGAGTGTGTGTGTGAGAGAGTGAGAGAGAGAGTCTCTTTCCGGGTGGGCTGGACATCTGTGGCTGTGTCTAAGTTGACCTTTTCTCTGGCGAGTCTAATCTGCTTCGTCTCACCCAGTGAATTTCATTTCCGATGCTGTGTTTTCGTTCCCACAGTTCCTGAGGGGCGGGATCCCGGGGTTGCTGGGGGCCGTTCGCAGGGGTTCTGCCCGGGTCTTCCCGCGAGGCTGGGCCACAGGGCCGTCTCCGCATGTGCTGAGGTCACAGGACCTGCTCTCAGACATGGGTGCTCGTGGCCGAAAGCTTGGCCTCCTCACCGTGTGGGCCTCCTCACAGCATGGCGGCTGGCCTTGCCCAGCGCC